GATGATAAAGCTTACCTTAGCCACACTCCTATTTTCACGAGTCTAGATTCCAAAGATCATATATACATCTCTATGGGTGTATACAACACATAAGGCTGTATAAGACAGTTCATCAACAACACTTCTGTTAAAGGTTGTATAAGAAAGTCCAAAGACCTTTAGCTTCAAAGCTCAACAATATAAAAGAGTAACCAAAACGTCTTAAAATCCCTAACTTTATAATTGGTTTTATCTTGATTGTTATGCGTGTACATAGAAGACCTTACTAAGGGAGCAAATTCAATATTATGAATGAATGGAACAATCAACAGAATTTAACTCCAAATGAGCTATGGATGCATAATATTAGCCCATAAGCAAGAATGGCATAATAGTAACACCATTTTTTTTATCAACTTAAGCAAAATATAAGAATAGAAAACTTCATTAAACCTTAGGCAAATGACGACTAGCTTCCGTTTCTTGTTCCGGTCCAACAACGGGGATGTTATCCTGCCTTTCTCCTGCCGTGGAAAGACTTCAGCCAGTAGTCTTCACTCAATAGAAGACTAAATGACACGAGACCCAAATGCCAACAAGCAACTAGTTAAGTATAGACTACTTTTGACCCTAATTACACCATCACAGAATTAAAATCAAACAAGAGCTAACAAATTTTCCTATCCCAACAATGAGCAAAAGCATAGAAGCATAAGCACAACAATCTGATTTCCAATCCCATTCATAAATTAAATAAGTTATTCAAAACTACATGGACACCACGATTAGGGCAGAAATCAAATCGAAAAAGAGGAAATTTTACCTCACGTCATCTTTTTAGAATTTGTTGCCTCCGAAAAGGAAGGAGAGGGAGCAGTTGCGTTACTGTGATTATCTGTATCATTTTCTTTGCCTGTCCTTCGGGATGCTAAAGCATTAGAGGTATCCTGTAAAGGTTGGTTTTCAGAACCTTCCACCACAACACCCTTACTCTGGGTCTCTGTTTCATTAATTACTTTTGGTGAAGTCAAGGCTGGAGCATCGGATAGAACAGGTTGACTTTGTCCTATAGATGGGCTATCAGATGCTTGACTTTGTTCCGTGGTTGTTGAGCTAGATGCCTGATTGTCTGTTGGAGGAAGTTGTCTTGCTCAGAAGCATCTTGTGCAGTTGTTAACTTCGAGTTTCCCGTCATCAATGACTCACCGTTGTTTTCGAGTTTTCCATTCAGAACTGGGTTTTCTGTAGTCTCATTACTAGAATGATCATCATGGTTGGATAATGAAGAGGACTCTGGAGGTAGCTGTTCGCCATTTTTCACATCCTCCATTTCCACAAAGTGATAGAAGTGCCCGAACTAGAAGGATATCCCCTATTCTAAGACAGAACTGGACCAGGAAAAAGGTAAACGATTAATCACAAGAAATATATTACCTCTTCCATATAATTCAGAGTACAAGAAAATAAAAAACTTGCAATAATTTGTACTAAAAGACCTCTAGAAGGAATATAACCTTATACTCCTATTTTTTGGACACCATACAATCATCTCAAGCTTATTACTAAAGATGAAAAACATTTCCTTAATAGCAGCTCATGCTTCTATAATCTCCCAGCACTTAATAGCACTTTCACCCAAAATGAAAAAGTGTTTAAAAAAAAAAAGGAAAAATCATATATTAATAATTACAATTGCTATCTTTCGAAAGAATGAGCATTAAAATTATTTATAATCGCATAAGACATACCAACCTTTCACCATACATGTAAATGGAAACAAAAAATGAAAAAGAAAATACAGGAATATCCACAATGAGTCAACGGCATACATTTTCTGCCTTGAAACTCTAGAACAATGTTCACCAACTTTTCCATCGCAATCTTGTTCATTCGTTTTCACGTAATATTTATACTTCCCTATTTCTTTCCTTTCCTTTTATATATTTACATCAGTATAAGCTTGAAACCAGACGACATTTAGAGCCAGACTCACGCCAAATTTGAAACAAAACTTATTCTGGATTCGGGTCTTGAACCGACCGGTTCTAATCTCCTATGCTTATTCTCCGAAAAATTATCTTGCTGGTCCAAAGTAAATAACTTTTTTCTTTGTTCTTGATTAGAAACAAAAAACAGGAAAATTCAAAAAATTGAGAAATTAAAAAAGTTCAAAAAGAAAAAGGATAAATCCTATAGAAGGTTGTCAGAAAAAGGGTTATTAACAACATATGAATTCACTGACAAAATACGGTTCCAAATTCGACAGCAAACCGAAAAAGACATAGTATCGCATGAATTGATTATTCAAATCGAAACCGAGAATTAGTGCTCTAATCACGGATTAAACATCGCAATCAAAACTGATAATTCCTTTTCAACAAAAATGAAAATCAAAAGGAAAGAACATACCGGATTAATAAACCAGAAACGAATTGAAAAAAGGATGATGTTAGCAACGATTGCTGCAAAATCACAAAAAGAAAATTAACCAAAAATAAATTATACGAAAAATAAAGGTGGAAAATAGTGGAGCTAAAAATAGGAGGTGAGAAAAACGGGGAGAGATAGAATACACGTGAGTGGAGCTTACCTCCTCACGCAGACGCAGACTAGATCCATCTTTCTCTCCTTTACGATTCAACGAAGTTTGTGTATTTGGGATCTCTGTTTACGACCAAGCGATGAACCTACATAATTTGGGGTCTTGCGCAATGAGGGAAGAATTTGTCCTTAGGGCTTCGAGTGAATTGCGCAAAGAGGGCTTCGAGTGAAAGAAGAGGGCTTCAGGGCTTTTTCCTTTCGGTGACTAAAAAGCCCTAAGAGTGGGAATTGTTCCAAGTTGAAGCTTGTGGAGAAGCAGGCAGAGCAAGAAAATCTCTCACGTTTGGTTCACCGCGTGAGAAGAGTTTACGAAGTAAATGGGATTCGACAGATTAGGGGAAGAGGCGAATGAGGTTTTTTTTTCTTATGTTCAGTTCGTATGGGATTCGGCAGAGTGGTGGAAGAGGGAAAGGGGGGAAAGCCAAGGAGATGTTTGGTAGATGAAGCCAAGGAAATGTTTGGTAGAGGGATTCATTCTCTGATTTGAATCATGATTCATAGTTTACTACAGTATTTTTTCTCATAAAAAATTTACGTAAATCGAAAATGATTCGAATCACATGATTTGAATCCTCTAACTAAACGTCCTCCAAATCAAACCAAAAAAAAAAGGAGGAGCGGGAGTTTTAAAATTTCTGTGAAAAAGAGGGAGTGAAAATTTTAAAATTTCAGAGAAAATATTTCCACTACCCGCCCAATATCATTCTAAGGTGTACATTAGTATATATTTAAATATATATACAATAAACGAGCCAAAATTTCATGAACTTTTATGAAATATTAATATATATAGATATATTATAATTATTTTTAAATGCTATTATATACAGGTTACGAAAGGCCTATTGTGGTGTAGTGTTATTTTATCAATGAGTTTAAGGCAGGGGGCTATCTGTGGTACGTTCTTTACATATTTCCTCTCATTTTATTTCAACTTTTTTATTTATTTAAGTTCATACTTAACTTCTTGAAAAATCAAAAGAGTTTCTTAATATTTACAAGATGAATATCGACATGTAAATGGGCTGTGGCAGGAATCTTTGTATATTCTTGAAGGGGGATGAAAAAAACGATGGAAAAAATCATGTTTCTATTTACTTGGAACTGGCAGATGAGATTGATCTCCCTGTTGGTTAGGAAATTAATGCAACATTCAACTTTTTTATTTCCGATCAACTTCGAAACAAGCATGTTGGTCTCCGAGGTAATAATATATTTCTATATTACTATTTATAAACAAAATAAATTTAGAGTAAGTAGTGTACAAGACACTAATTTTAATCTCAACTATTCTATATAACTATAAAATTGTCATATTTTCACTGATAGATGTAGTTGTTTATTATTAAGTAACGTGATAATCTTTTAAATAGCAACCAATGAAATGATGATAATTCCCCTGTTCCGTAGGTTGAAAAAAAAAAAAAAACTCACATGTTAGTAAATATTATTCATAAGATTTCAACTTTTTTTTTTTTTTTGATTTGTAGTGCATAGAATTTACTGCACTGGATTTTTCCTTTTGTTTTGTTTTTTTTTTAACATGATCTGTTATTATATTTTGAGTTTGATGTAGTACTGAGGATATTAGCATATTATAAGTGTTCCAGGGTAATAATAAGCATTAATATTTTTATTCAATTACATACGTGCATGTAGAATTTGATTTACACAACTATTTATCAATTAAGTACCCTCAAGTAGTGTGTATTTCCTTGAAGATTTCTTAATTCTTATTGTTGAATAAAGCTCTCACTTATATTGACATATCCGAGAAAGAGATGTTTCCACTCAATGATAAGTCATTGGGGTGTCGCTAAATTTATTTATCTAAAGACCTTGACCAACTCATCAAATGGATTTCTTGTCAATGACACTTGTCTTTTTGGTGTGGAGGTTTTTATTACATGTGCAGAGGATTGTTTAATGTACATACGACAACCTAAAGGGTTTTGCAAATACAGATGGAAATTTGATAATTTCTCCAAGAAAAATAAAAGATAAGTGCTATAAATCCGATTTTTTCATTGCTAGAGAATATAAATGGTACGTATACAATCTTACAATATCAATACAAATAATATTAATATTATAGAAAATTGTAAATTTTACCTTCAAATCACACGGATAAGGATTTCTACCCTTCTATTATGGAATACCCCTTCTGACTGGTTTGTGATATTTTGACCACAATTCAAATGTCATTATAATGCCCTCAATAACAACGCCAATGTTTACTCATTCTTTCTCCGCCCTTCTCTCTCTACTATGTCTTTCCTCCCAATCTTTCTCTTCGCCTCGTCTCTTCCGCCGCCTCTTTCTCTCTCTCCACATCTGCTTCGTCTCCCTCTCCCTTTCTCTCTCTCTTTCCTCTCCACGTCGTTCTCTCTCTAGCATTCTCTCCTCTGTTGATTTAAGGCGCCGACCTTACTGAGGCCTCGTTCATTTCGCTGATTCGAGTTTAGAATTCGAGTTTTGCTACAGTAAAAAGCTCTCAGAAACAGTCACATCTAACTTTTTTGCTACAGTAAAAAGCTCTCACACAAAATCACATCTCAACTCGAATTACAAATTCAAATCAGCGAAGTGAACGGGCCCTGAGATCGCAGATCGCTTCGTCTCCTCACGTCAATCTCGACTTTTCTATGGCAGATCGTGAGATCTATCAGCGATCGTTCTCCTTCACTCTCTGTCGCGAATCACACGGTGTTCGGAGGTTCTTCTTCTCTCGCCATCGTGAATCCGACGGTGTCGGGAGGCTTCTCTTCACATGCCGTCGAACATAGAATGATGTCGGTGAGAGTTCTCTTTCACTCGCCGTCGCAAACTTAACGGCTGGGAGGTTCTCGTTCACGCTGCTTCTTTTCATCGTCCTTGAATTTGGTAGATCCCTCCTTTACTTCTTTCTCTTTGCTTTTAGTTTTACGAATATTGTGCTTTGTTTTCTTTTTTTTTTTCTTTATTTTGTTATCCAAAAGTTTGGCTTCGTTTGGATCTTGATGTTAAAAGTGTAGATCAATTCTCTCCACTTAGTTCTCTCGACATCGGTGTTCTTACGTAAGTCATGAATTTCTTTTCATTTGCTCTTATAGAAAATGTTGTGTGAAAAAATATACAGACTCGTTGGACAGTGGCTATGCTCCACATGATCCTATATTCATCGACGTTTGAAATTAATTCTCCCTATATGGTATAAGAATCGAGTACATAAAGGGGGATAAACCGTCGAGGGTTGTGCGTACCGCGATAGGGTCGACCGTGAAAGAGGCCACACCTCGCAGAATAAAGCATAGGCGCAGAGGACATAGTGCAAGCAACTGGAACCATATCCCGAGAAAGACCTTTGAGGTGACAAGCTGGAGGTTCCTAGGTTGCATCTAAGTTTGGAAAAGGTCGATTGCATTGGGAATGATTATGAGCCCTTAAAACGCCTGAAACGGACTAATAGATATTACAGAGGATCTGCAGAGCCTTAATCGGGGGGCAAATTAGATGAGTAAACAATCTAAAAGGTGTTGACAGGTTATAGTCTAGACAAATGAAATAGTAGGCAACTCGAATGGATGAGTCATTTAAAAAGAACCGTCAAAAAGCCTTAAAAGTAGCTCACCGTTGGGCAATGTTCTTGTGTAACTTGTAAACTATAAAAGGGGCAAAGCCCCAGAGGGAAAAAGAGATGATTTTTTATGTAACATGTGAAGAATAGAAAAAAAATACAATACAGTGTATGTAGTTTTTTTTTCATAAGGGTTAACCACTATAAAGTTTCTGGGCGTTTTTTACTTTCATTAAAATACAACACAAAATACTCTTCACAAATACGTCCAAAGCATAAACACATACTTTAGAATATTCAGTTGAATTAACGGTCTCAACTGGTATCCCGACAGATCACAGATGGGTAATCCGGTAGAACCTTGTTGACGAAAATCAACCGTCAACAATTGACGACTCCAATCAACGACCATGCCTCCAAGAAGAAGTGACGTTGCAAATCAAAGTAGCCAAATGGAGGAAAACACTACGCATCCAACCAATGGTGAGAGTGGAGGAAGTTGGCCCGACCAGAGAAATCAACCCCCAGTAAGGGATGAAGCCCCACCCCTGGATGTGACGCAGTTTGACCCGGTACAGATGCAGGCCCAACAAAATGTTCTACCTGACCTGGTTCGAGGGCTGGTGACCGCCTTCGAGCGAATGGACGGGAGAAACTTTATGCCTCCTCTGGAGGACGCCCCGAGACCACCGGGAGTCGCCGTGGATGGGAACCAAAATCCTGGTGACCAATAAGGTGTCCCAGAAAGGATTGGGGAGAGTGAAAATACCAGAGGAGATAACCCGAGGCCTCGACTGTCCAAATCCCTCGGTAGCCGACAAAGAGGCGTCAGGCGACGAGCCCAGAGGAAAAGAACAGACGTGGGTTTAGAGAACCCTGAAGTGCCACCTCAAAATCTGGGTAAGAATCTCCTGGGAGATTCGGGGTCAGTGCAAGAAGCCGGAGACTTAAGGAATAAGCTGGATGCAAGAAAGGCGGGAGCCTCAAAAGGGATAAGCTCTGCAATCTCAACGGAGGAGGCCAGAGCCATCATGGAACGCGTGACGAGCTTAGAAGAAAAGTTCACAGGTGATGTCGCCGGTTTAAAGAATGACGTCAAAAGCCATGTGAGACACTTACAAAAGAACCTAGGATAGGTGGCGGAGGTGGTAAATGTCGACATCACTCTCAGTCGAATTCATGACTACCCTTTTACTGTAAAAATCACGGCGTCACCTATCCCTAACAAATACAGGTTCCCGTCAATCCAACCATATGACAGTAGAGGAGACCCCGACGACCACTTGGAGATGTATAAGGGACAGATGCTTCTGCATGGGTATGTCAAAAAAATAATGTGTCGAGCGTTCCAGAACCACTTAACGGACTTTGCCCGAAGATGGTTCCGAACACTCAAGCCAGATTCCATCAGCAACTGGGAGGAATTGAAAGAGGCATTCTCCCTCCAATTCATCGGGGTAAAAAAGTATATCCCGCCCAAACAAAACCTGACAACGGTGTACCAAAAATCAAATGAGTTGTTGAAAGAATGACTGACAAGGTACGGAGAAGCCGTCACCGCCACAATGAATGTGACAAACAGGGAGGCCTTGATGGGGGATTTGTCTAGCATGAAAAAGATCACACCGTTCAAGCGAGATCTGAACTAAAAGCCACCGTCCACCTACAAAGAATTCTTAGCCCGAGCAGAGGGGTATATCAACGCCGAGGAAGCCGACACCAACGACCTCGAACACCGATCCAGTAAGAACAAAGGGACGGAACAATGTTCAACCTCGGGAAAACAAGAAAACTGAAAATAGCCAGGTGGGG